GGAAGGGAAAAGAAAAAAAGGAAGGAAACACCTAAATAGAACGTCATCTAACAAAACAAAAACAAGACTCACAAACATAGTAAACAATACTTATGGTTACGAGGTGAAAGGGGGTGGGAAGGGATAAACTTAGGAGTTTGAAGATTTGCAATGTTAATCATTATATATAAAAACAGATTTAAAATTTTTCTGGATAGCACAGGGAACTACATTCAATATCTTGTAGTAACCTACAATAAAAAAGAAGATGAAAATGAATATATGTATGTATATGTGTGACTAAACATGATGCTGTACACCAGAAATTGACATTGTAACTGACTATACTTCAATTTAAAAAAAAAACCCTTCTCTTGGACCAGGGTGCTGGAACCTGGCACAGGATAACTGAGGAGGCAGCTGGGCCAACCCCACCAGACACACAGGAGCAGATCAGGGCTTCAGTTCCCGGAACACCTACACTCAACGATTTGATTCTGTCCCCACCCCTCCCCACCCCGACGACTTCTTTTCAAGTTTGAGTAACTGAGAAGAATAATTCCTAAAACAACGGTCAAGGTTCTGAGTATAATTATTTCGAGGAAGATTTGGAGTTTTCCAAAGGTTCTGCTTTCAACTTGTAAAACAAATAGCATTTTCAAAAAGAGCACACGTCTCTTCACAGCAAAGGGGATGAGGCAACCGAGCCACTTCAAAGCTCTGCAAAGTGCCAAAGCCATCTGCTGACCTTTTGCTGACAGAATGCAAACTTCACTTTAGGGACTGCTGGATCCATCATTTCTTCTGGAATTTTCTCTGAGCCCAGGGAGCTAGTACTACATCCACCGGAATAGGAGGGGCACTGCATTCCCTAACAGTCCCAACATAACAGATGTTTAATAAATATTTACTGAATGTGCAGTAAATCTAAAAACTCGCAATTGCATAATTCCATTAACTGACGAAAACAAAAGCATATGTACAGCTACATTTCATCGTTAAAGCTTTTCAGATTTCTGCTTTGAGTAAAACTGAATTAAATCAAAACTAATAAGTCACAACTGTCAGTCTTCCAAGAAAGCAATATACAATCATAACAAATGTTCGGCATTAAAGACTTTCCTCTACAACCTGAAATGAGTGTTTGTCTAGTTTAAATAGACTTTGATTTCCACATATGTCATAGTTGTTTGTTTTGCTAGAAATTACAACACTGTCCTTGACACATAAATCAACAAATATGAAAGAGAAAGAAGATTTATCATATGTCACATCTGCAAAGCCTTAAGTGGGGTGTCTGAGTTAGGGCTGCTTCATGGAAACCATTATAAAAGCTGGCCTGGCACGCACCTTACTTCTCATTGTTGAGAGGTACCCTCTTTTTGTGGGGGGGTGATAAATAAAAGAAAATAAATAAAAACATAATTATTTATTTTTAACAGAGGCAGTGGGGATTGAACCCAGGACCTCGTGCATGCTAAGCACACACTTTTACCACTGAGCTATACCTCCCTCCCGCCAAAGGTGACCTGTTAAGATCTCTTTTCATTATTAAGAATATACCTACACACTGAATTAACTAATGTGAGGTTTGTGCCATTTTTAGGCAAGTATTACAGACCACTGATTCTTGAATAAATCTCATTTCAAAGTATTACTATCATTGAGTAAATCTTGCATTTTGCCACATATTTGGTACAAAATTATAC